ATTCCTCGCTTCTCCGGAGGAATTCGGGGAGTCGACTTTTCCCCCAGGTGAAAGATGTAATCCGAGATTCCTGTGTGTCTTCATTATTCTTTCATGTCCGGCGGGCATCAAATATTGCGAATTCGTTAACGAGGTCAGATTAAATTTTCGGGACGTGGATTTTCGACGGACGGGCGAATTAAATTACGCCCGCATTAGACTTGTCGTTGGCTGTTCAACGCGAAGATTAAATCCCGCCCGATAGAGCGAAATTTAATAAAAATAACGGGAGAGAGTAAGGATTTCCCCCCCCCACTCGCGCACGCATCTTTCTCAAAACGCACTCTGAATATATCCCTTCTAAATGGAAACGAGAAGAGAGGGAGGAGGCGCTTTGTGACGCGGCAGAGACGAGCTGGAGCCACGTATATCTCACTTGAATGTTCCGAGTAAACCGGTGACACGCTGATCCACTGAGGTGTAATAGTGAGTTTCGTAAAGCGAATCTCTCGTATTTATGGATGAGTGCCGTTTTGAGCTCGCGCGAAACGACGCCCCGTCGTCATCATCGTCCTTCTCGTCGACGCGATGCATTCAATCTCCGTTTCTTCATCTTCATTAGCACGCTGTCTATAGCGTTGCTTACGTCGCTGCTTCGAGGACGCTTGTTGAAGCACCCTTTTGACTAACCCTTTGTAGCTCACGCAAAGAGAGCTCGACAGTAGGTTAGCACGTAGCTTCCCCGGACGTCAATGACACCTAACAGCGCTGAAAGAATAGATTCGACGGATCTTCCGGAATTAAAGAAGTATTTGAGGTAATAGCAGCGTAAAATAAATTTTTTCAGAATTCGTTGAAACTTGCATATGGATTCGTAAATACAATTTCGTTATTGGCGCAATCAGAAAACGACTGGCCACTCGAAAGCTGAAATATTCGCAACTGAAAATTACACTTTTCACGCGTGCTTTCCTTGTATTTTTAACTTCCGTTTTTAATTACTTTTCAACCGCATTTGGAATGTTAATAAAAAACTAATATAATATTACCTTATCATCAGAGTGCGCGCCCTCGAGAATGTGAGAAAGTAAAAAAGAGAGCGAGGGAGCGTTAACGGACTGTTTACTCCCGATCTTCGCGGGAAGTATATTACTCGATTACGGCCGATGCCGAACACGATAATCCGGTATGCTGCATCGCGCCGGTGTTGAAATCGCCCCCGTAACGCTTGCATACGCCACGATTGACGGCGATATCGCCGCACACGTATCTTTTACGCGCCGTATCTCGTCTCGTTATGATCACTTATCACTTTAGACGGCGCACGCTCGCTCGCGCCACCATGCGCGCCCATTATATTTCATTTCCCCGCGAACGCGAAAATACGAGTATGTCGGACCGGGGTCGGATGGTTAGAGCGTTGCGATTTTCGTCGCAGTCGCGCGGATAAAAACAGATTCCTACGGCCGTTACACGCGTGTAACGCTGGTGTGGCTATATATAAATGTCGTCACACATCCGGCCGCGCGCGCATTTCAGATCCCAGGGAGGAATGCGCGGGAGATCGATAGGCTATTTCTGCGATCATCGAAGCGCCGTGGCGCGCTTCGGAAATACCATAAATTCAAAGTATATTTTTATGATCCCGGGATCTCGTGTCGACGTCGCCGTTTCGCCGCGACGGTACGATTCCTCGCTCTTTTATTTTTGTTTTCTTTTTTATTAATATTTCACCAGTTCGTTACTCTTATTCTTTCGCGTGGCCGCGCGTGAAGCGAGTGGAACAACACACGGTCGAGTAACTCTATTCACCGCGGAGGCGTGTGAAACTAATTGCGAAATAAATGTCCGCCGTGAATATTACGCCATGAAAATTCATGCGGGGACTTAACGCGCCGTACGCTAGTACTTTATCCTATATCGTAATGTGACTTTAAAGTTGTGTGTATATTTATGTCGCGTATGCTAGTACCTTTCTGCGTTAATTACCGAGATTATATCGCCGTTCGTGTAAACTGTTAAATGTACTTCTTGAAACATACCAAAGTCCGCGAAAGAGAGAGAAATAGAAGCTACATAGATATTTATATTAATTACCAATCTAATCTTTTTCTCCACACACACACACACACCGGTATGTTATCTATGAACTGGCAGGAAGGAACGATACGATTCGTCACGGCTATTATTCATCGCAAGGAATTTCATCGTGTCTCGAGAGGCGAGAAACCGACCGGCGAAACGGGCCTTGGATTTTTCTCGAAAAAAATTACGTGCGGTAAGCGGCGGCAGAATCGTGAATGGCTGCGCGCCTGCCTGCCGCGCGCGTGTTTTAGCGGATCGGGAATTAAAGGAACGGGAGAACCGCCGGTCGGACGCGATACTACGCACGTGTACGTGCGGACGCACATCCACGCGAAATTGCGTGTACACGTCGCGGACACCCGGCGAATTCCCTCGTGCAGGCATGTCCAATCATTGGCGTAGGAATTAGAGTCTCGATGCGCATACCTCCCTCCCCCTTTCTCCCCTTACACTTGGCTCGCCAAATTAATGAACAACGTCAACGTCGGCAGCGTCGGTACGCGGCGCGCATACGGATACGTTCGTAAAATTCGCTGACGAATCAGTCGCATTTGGATAATTTCGTTATCCCCGTCGCGGCCGGGACTTTCTGCGTGACGAAACCTTATTCGACCGGGCGATCCCCGCGGGATCCGCAGGCGCGTGCGTTTACGCGAAATCGAATCGTAATCGGATTTCCGCGTCCACTCTGACTCCTCGCGGTTTTTCGAGTTTTCGGAAATATCGCGCCCGGGCGGCAATATGAAATCCGATTCGTTTCGGGGCGCGATGCAATTTTACATGATAAGTGGGAAACATTTCCCAGTTGATTCTTTAATCGAGGTCTCATCGGGGTCTCTCTCTTTCTCTCTCGCTCTGTACCTCGCGATACTCGAGTCGCGAGTGAGCTCACTCGCGAAATCCTCTTCCAGGCATAATCAGAGAAAACGAGAAAAAATAAATTCCTGCAAATTCTCCGCTATTTTGTCGAAAGTCGTCCAGAAACTCAGCGCTGCCATCCAGACATTTAAAAGTGTGTTTCGAAACAGATTTGGCTACTACCAGTAACAGAGACGAAGTCGGCGACAGTGACGATTATAATTATAATAATAGTAGAATGAAACCGAATTGCATACTAGTATTTTGGTATGAAGTAAGTCGAATTATAAATCAGTAATTTTTAGATATCCTTTAAGCTATTTTCTTATATGTTTGAATATAAGAAAGAAAAATAGTATCTAAAAAAGTAGTATTCATATGCTCGTATCAAGAAAAAAATCCTTTTATTTACTCAGCCGTTATAAAAATTATTTAATGTCCAAAATAATAATAATAAGAATACAGCTTTTGATATCAACAGCTGATTTACTGGTGAGAGATACGCAGTAATTTTACGTGCTACTAACATACTTCACCTCTTTTACTGATGTTAATTATTTACAGACACATCCAAAGTGATATTTGTCCATTTTTTCTTGACAAGTCACTAAAAAATTCATTACCGTCCAAAGTGGATCACAGTCACTTTTTCCTCAGCTGCCGTTAAATTTGTAAGATACGAGCGTCCTATATATACTTTTGCCCGTCTCTCTTAATAAAACTGTTCCGAAAGCGTACTTGTATCGTTCATACACTGAGAAGAAGAAATTGAAATTTTATGAAGTAAATGCTTCCTGTGGCATTTTCTTCGATGTTTATTGGTTAGAAGAAAATTTGACTGAGATAACGGAATATATATTTTTATGAAATATACTCGAGTTTTCTCATTAATTCGTTTTATTTACTAGGAATAAAGTCTTACTTCGCCGTATTTAAATAAGCATTTATTTCCGTGAAATAAACTTTATATTTCACAAATAAATCTTTAAATCTTTTTTTCTCAGTCTGCTCTTGGCTTTTCCTTGTTGTGAACTTTCAAGTCGTACTACAAAGAGAACTCGCTGTGTATTAAATTATCCAAAAATAAACCGAAGAAGATAAAAGCAAAGATTACTTTTTTCCTCGATTAGCCTTAGTTACCCTCGGAATTTGACAAGAAATGTCCTTTCTGGATTCACTATCCTGATGTCTGGGAGATCACTTTTTGTCACTTCTCCTACCATGAAGCAGCCACTATTTCACTTCTTTTTTCACCCCGGCGACCGGATGGCACCGCTCGGGGAAACTCGGAGGAGTCGCGCGCGTGCGAGCGACCGGCTTTTCGCCGGGGCGCGCAATTTACCGGGCGCAACGCTATTGTCTCGAATTAAGTCTCTCAAGCGTCTCCGACGAGAGAGAGAGAGAGGAGGGCCGACGTTGCGAAAGTAGCGCAACGAAATACGAGCGTCAAGGGGTTAAACCGTCCCTAACCGACCCAAATAACGATCCCCTCCGTTTTTCTCGTTCCAGGTTAACGGCGCTGCGGCTACTACGTCGGCGGGAGATACAACGCCAACGACACAAGAACAACAACGACGACGACGACGACGTCGCAGCCGCCGCTGCCCCGCCGAAGACGACAACGGCATGATCGCGCCGTGGGGATAGTGGGGTTGAAAATCGGCGCCTGTTCGCTGTGTCACCCTCCGTCGTCTACTTTGGCCCTCTCTCTTTCGCCCGGTGCGTGCCCCTCCAGAGAGAGATCTACTGCCCTCGTCTTTCGGCCCCGTCGTCGTTCGCCACTCATATATTCACGTGCGTGCGTATCGCGGGTACACGTCGCTGCACGCGTAATCACGCATACAGAGACGCGATTCCGGGACGGAGAGTAAGGTCCGCGCGTTAATACGGAGGAATACGGGGCTCTCTCTCTCTCTTTCTCAGCTCCTGCGCTCTTGCAGCGCCGACTTGGTGGTGGTGGGGGGGGGGGGGAA